AATAAGGAGATAGAAAGTTTTTAAAAGATGATAGCAACTTTATGTAAGAAATGTATGTGAACATGTAACACTCCACCCAAGGATAGTAGAATTCATATTCCTCTCCAACATGCATTTTCTGCTGCAGATTTTAATGTATGTAGGTCATAAAATTACCCCAACAAATTTGAAAAGTGAAATTATGCAATGCATTCTCACATCAAAATAAAATCAAATTAAAAATAAACAACAAAGGAAAATTTGGAAATCCACAAATAAGTAAAACAAAGTTAACCTCCCAAGTAAATGAATCAAAGAAAAATAATGCAAGTTGAATTAGAGGAAAACATGATCCTACTAAATGTTATAAATGAAAATGAAAACAACATAATTTTCTATAAGTTTTCTATGAAATAGGAGAGAGGTTGAGGAAAAAATAATTTCCATAAAAATAGATAATGGTAGACGAAAGCAATGAAATCAAAAGTTGGTTCCTTGAAAAGATACAAAATTGGCACACCTTTAGCTAGGGTAGCTGAGAGAAGCAGAAAGATGCTCTTAGTTATTATTATACCGACTACCAGTTATCAAGGAGGGGACATTATTTGCTAATCTTCCAAAAATAAAACAATAGTAAGAGAACACTCTGAAGAACAAATTGGATAACTTAAACAAAATAGGAAAACTTCTAAAAGATACATGTTTCTAAAACTGACTGGTTAAGAAAATTTAAAATCCAAATACATTTATTACAAGTAAAGAAATTCGATTAGCTATTTAGAAACTTTTCATAATGAAAGGCTCAAAGATATACAATGCCTCTGGTAAATTCTAAGAAGTAATATCAATTCTTTATGAGCTCTTCCAAAAAGCATAATTAGAGAAGCACTGTAACGCTTTCTATGAGGCCCAAATTACCCTGATGTTCAGACCTGTCATTACAAGAAAGAAAATCAAACCCCAATATCTTTATAATACTGGTGCAGAAATTCATAAAAGTTCCAGCAAATCAGCAATATTTAAGAAGTGTAATAATACATACCAAGTGTAGATTACCCTGGAAACTCAAGGTTGGCTCAATGTAAAAAACAAAATCAGGGCCAGGCGGTGGTGGCGCACGCCTTTAATCCCAGCACTTGGGAGGCAGAGGCAGGCAGATCTCTGTGAGATCGAGGCCAGCCTGGGCTACCAAGTGAGGTCCAGGAAAGACACAAAGCTACATAGAGAAACCCTGTCTCGAAAAACCAAAAAAAAAAAATCAGCCAATGATGTTTCCCAGCACTGTGTCAGAAGCAGGTAAAATCACCAACAGGCTTAAGATTTGCTCTTGGAGTGGAGAAAGGATACTAAATCTAGACTGTGGAGGTGACGGCATAATTCTGTGACTATACTACACGACTGAGTAGTGCTTTCATAAGCAATTCTTTTGATATGCAAATTTCATCTTTTATAAAGATGTCAAAAGATAACAAAACATAAACCATTGATTTGGTCAAAGGTGATATTTACTGAAAAATAATGAACAGTTAATGCATTTAAATGGAATTCTGTACATTTTTATTACCACCTCTGACATCCAAAAGACTGAAGTGAGGTTCCAAAGTCTTACATTTATTAGCTACTGCTCAGGTCTTTGGAGTTTTAATTTAAATAAATTTATCAAATACACACTGTATATACACACATATACTACATGTAGTCTAATATATGCATATATATATTAGATAGATGAGATAGATGAACACATAAAGCACCTTTGAAAACCTAGATTTAAAGCACATATATAAGAATATCTACTCTTAATATTTATAATGTATGGACAGTGGTGGTTTACACCTTTAATCCCAGCACTTGGGAGGCAGAGGCAGGTAGATTTCTGAGTTCAAGGCCAGTTCAGTTTACAGAGTGAATTCCAGGACAGTCAGGGCTACACGGAGAAACCCTGTCTCAAACAAAACAAAAAAAAAACAAAAAAAAAATGCCTAAAACAATGATAATTTCTTTTACTAAAAACTTCAAATCACATGACTCAACACCATGAGTTTTCTGCTTCATTAAATATTATATTTTATAAATTATCTCAAATTAGCATCAATCATCTATTTAATATATATTCTACACACCATTTTTATTTTTTAAAATTATCTGCATTAATACCAAGGTTATGGCATTAGATGTTTTATTATCTGGATATAGTAAAAAAATGTGAACTGGAGAGCCTCCTGAGAAATTGTTATTCCATTACAATTTCTGTACCTGGAATCATGTATATATGGGTAATAAATTATGCCCATTAATAGGATAGCTATGGTCATAGTGGTAGTTTATTACCTGTGAATAATTGGGGCTTATTTCTTCTGACCCTAACTCCAATGCTCTTTCAAATATCCTTAAGACCAGAATCCACCCTTGTTTAAGAATTGGCCTTCAAGGGAGTCAGGTGGAATAATACATCTGAAACTGTTTTGTAGTTTCCTTGGCCCGGGGAAGAAGAGTACAGCATGGTGTTAGGAGAGCAATGCCAAGGAGGTGAGGGAATGACCAGTGAGATCACGCCACACATTCCATAAGCAGCTTGGGTGAGAGATCAGAGCTGGGTTTTATCTGGGATCTGCTACAAAGTCCCTGTGAACTGTGAATCATTCCAACTGTCCAGTACATCATTCAGCAGCAAATCATAAATTTAATTAATTTTCCACTTTCTCCCATGTTTTTAAAATGCTAAAGTCTTTCAGCCTCTGCTTTTCCTTCATGTTGTGAACTCCCTAGACAGTCTTAAGACCTGTAGCCCTAAGCCCCTTTGTGTTCATTCTACTGCCAGATTGACGTTTTTATTGCCTTGTTTCATCTCTAGCCAGTCTTTATTTCTCAAATGGCATTTCCTTACATGCTGGAGCATTCTCTTTTCTTGTGTGTAGGAAGCACTGGTAAATTTTGTAAACTTTCCTCTCTGCCTTTATCTTCAGTTCCATCAGTGACCACTTGAACTTTGGTATTTTTCATGGGCTTCTTCAAAGGATGTTGACACTTCAGTGGGTCTAAGAATAATTCCTGGGCTGTGTACTAGATGAGATATTTTTTGCACTGCTGGGATGCTGATCAGTAACAGTTTTTAGAGGCATGAGATCTTAACCTAACCAAGAAATGTCACACTGGATGACTCCCTTGGCAAGGTAGCTATCCTCTAGGGTAGTGAGAAGTTAGTTATGTTACTGACCTCACTGCATTTCTACTGGGTTGCAGTTGGAAGAATTGGACTGAAATCAGCATGGCAAATTCTTTTTGCCAGTAGAAATCTACCTGACCTCTCAGTTGAAAAGTTTCTAGCATCCCGACTTTAATTAGTTATTTGCTTTGTTTGATTTAAACCTCAGAGAAGTTGGTTTCTCTATCATACCTCCCCCCGTCTTGTCTATGTATGTGCATGCTGTATTCATGTGTATGTACATGTGTGTTGCTGGCACATGTGTAAAAGAGAACATCTGGTATCCAGCTCTATCACTCTCTGCCTTATACCAAAACATAGGGTTTCTCACTCAACCTGGAGCTTGTCTTTTAGCTAGGCTGGCTGACTAGCAAGCTCCCAGGATTTACTTGTCTCCTGCCCCAAGTGCTGACAATATTGGCATGTACAACCATGTTTGGCTGTGATTGGGTTCTGGGAATTCTAACTAAGGTTTTAATGCTTGCACAGGAAATGTTCTTATCCACTGAGACACCTTCTCAGCCCCTAAGATGAATGTTTTTGTTGTTGTTGTTGTTGTTGTTGTTGTTGTTGTTGTTCAACAATGATGTAATATGTATATTACCTAAATAAATTAATGTGATGCAAAATACAACCAAAACATTTGTGCACATAGGCAAGTTGCCAGTAGACAAGTGAGAGTTCTATTTGTTAGCATTTAGGCATCTGTATTGGCTTGCCCTTAGGCTCCTGACAGGATACATCCTCAGCTGCAGCCGCCAAGAGCACATCCTGTATGCATTTGCTGTGTTTCCTTATAAAAGGTGGGCCTTGCCCACCTCTGGTCTCTTTCTCTTCCTTTGCTCTAGTCCCCAGGGACCATTCTCTGCCCCCTTCTCTGCCCTGTTCTCTGCCCCCTTCTCTGCCCTGTTCTCTGCCCCCTTCTCTGCCCTTCCTCTGAATAAACCTCCCACATGAGCCTGTTGTATGATGTGACTCCTTTATGCCACTTTAAAAATACAACACTACTGCTAAGTACTTAATTCAAAACCCTAAAAACATTTTTAATAGTCTCAACATTTATACCAAAACTGTTTTTCCTTGATTCTTGGGTGTGACTAGCAAGCTCAGTATCACGGTTCAAGGCTGGGGGCTTGACTTATATGTAGAAACTTTTTCTGAAATTAAGGCTAGTATACATTCCTGAGGTAGAGTAGCGGGAAGTTAGCTACAATTAAAAACTCATAGGCTCTTCTTTCCCAGTTGGAAGGAGCTTCACACAGCCGCAATTCTGAAACTGGAACATGGCGTGCTCTGGTTTGTAGGTGTCTTTCTATTCCTGCTTAGAGGGGTTTATCTAACTATGTGGGTTCTTCAGTGCCCTCCCCCTCCTCCCTCCAGGTTAATTGCCCATTTGATTCACTGATATCAATCACATTAGCATTCCTCTTCTAGCAGTGCTGATATCTGTAACACTAAGATTCACTTCTAATTCGGAGCTACAATGTCTCCTCTACCTACTCCACTCCTCACATCCAGAACTCCAAATAGTAGTCAAGGGGTGGTCTGCGGTGGCATGTCAGGAGTTCAAAAGGAGGCTTTCAGTGAAGTCTGTCCAATACTCTCAAGGGTCTGTGTGATATCTAGAGGAGGTGGCCAGAGATGTTCTGTTCCTACAAGACCACCATGTCACTTATAAAATTTGACTTGGGTTGTGCACTACTGTTTCATGACATTAAAATGACAATTTGATGGACAGTTTAAGACCAGGAGGCAACTTGACTCTTTAAGAGTCAAATGAGTTTATGACTTGAGGTAGAACTCTCTCACCTTTTGAAAGCTGTCTTGAGGCTGTTAAGAACCACACAGCGTCTTTGTCTCCACTGCCAGCTCATTCAAGGCAAGCCCAGGAATGGTGTGAACGATCTCACCAAGGTGCATTCCTCTGAGAAGCTGCTCAGTGCAGCTTCCCTCAGCATCTGCAGACCTCTAGCAAAGTCGAAAATAAGAGAAGGCTTGTGTGAGTGCAAGCACTCACTCCTGCCTGCCGGCCGTGTTTACCTCCCCTATACTACAGGGGAATCACTTCTTTCATTCCATTCCTTAATCCTGGTTTTCATAGAAAGAAGTATTTTCTAAAGCTAATCAACTGAATGCCATAAATCTGGTCAGTGGTACGACATCATCACAGATCTCAAACTCTAAACCCCGGAGAGACTCTCTTCTCTAGAGCTGAGACTTCCTCTTCAGAAAGACAGTGTAGGGTCAGCAACATATTCAACTGACAGCATCTGTACCCTTCAGGCAGGTTTCCCTTTCTACCCATGTGGGGGCGGGAGAAACAATGTGAAACGACTCACAGGCATATTAATATCTTCATGCAACATATAAACCCTGGTGAAGAAGGGTGAAGTGGCTGAAACAGGGAGTCCACGAGACTTCATATTGCTGAGGCTATCCTAAATGACAGCAATACGTAGGTGCTGCCTGGGCTGGTAAGAAACTCACGCAGAGTGGGAGGGAGAAAGGTTCAACGCACATTAAGATGGTGGGTTTTGTGTCTTGTCTTCCTCACCAAAATATAGTGCCCTGCAATAAAATGCAAGAACCACGTCTTCCCGATTCATTTACATATCCCAGGTACTTGGAAATGTGCCTGGTATACTAGAGACTCAAAACATTTGTGGGATGAATGAATTAATGAATAATTAATGAATAAAGCTGGTGAAGGTAGTGTTAAAACTATGTTCAGAACCAGAGTCCATGACACCTTGATTAGCTCCTTTAAGTGCTCTGCCCCAAATTGGCATAAATATAGTATGTACAACACATGTGAAATCAGACTTCTCAGGTATAGGTCAGGATGACCAAGTAAAGTAACTGACTTCACTATATTGCATATCCACATTCATTTCTCCTAAATTCTAGCTCAGCCAAAATGTAAGTATCCAGCCCGCCACTGAGGAGCACTTCCGAGTTTACGACCCTGGTTACCTAACTGGCTTAGCACTGTGATCTCAGGCTCTTTGCTTGTAAAGTAGAGCAGATCACTTCATTAGGCGGTTGTAAGCAATTAAATGAACCAGTTCAGTTAGTGACAATGTCCAGTATGCCATTTTTCTACTTAGTTATTTTCTATTATCACTCTCATTTAATGAGAATAATTCTTGTTTCTCAGATTCTGCCTTTATTCTTGGAAATTTCCATCATTTTTGTGCTAAAAATTTTGACATTCTGGTAATGCATGTTGGCCATTTCTCATCATAATATTACAAAAACATAAGTTGTATAAGTTAACAATAAAACAAATTATACATCAAACATTTTTGACTGATACGGTAATAACTATTCTCCACAACCTTTTTATAGCAAGAGATACCAACTAAATTCACAGTTATCATAATTTTGAAGCAATGACAGGCATAAATGATACTTTTTCAAGTTACTGGCAACACAATGGAAATATTTGTGATCTCCATTAATGGCACAGTCTCAGCCACTTCAAACACTGTGGTGGTTGATGTCAATAATTAAAGGGAAATCTAAATTTTAGTTAGAATTTGGGGAAAATGAAAGTTTTTCCCCTATTGAGGTTCACAAACAATGGCATGTACAGTCCCTAAACCCAAGTTGAGAATTTATGCTACAGAGCTGTGCTCAGCCACTCTAACAGCTATCCAGAGTAATTTTCCAAACTATGTATCATGTGTATCTATGTACTTCAGAAGTAGATATGAAATATATGTGATTTGACTCCTAGGCAGAAATACACACACACACACACACACACACACACACACACACACACACATACACACATTACATACAAAAATAATCATTAACACAATGTCTAAAGTTGCAAAAGACCCAAACAGCTCAAATACCTAGCAGTAGCAGTTGAAAATAATTTCATTAATCCACACATTACGAAATACAAGTTGATTTTTATTAATAAGAAAAAAGTAAAGATTGAAGATCCTCTCTGTACTGATATCAAAGACACAAAGTTACAAAATGTATATATCATATTCCATCTTGGCTAAAAACACAATTAATTATTCAGAGTTACTGTTTAACAGTGGTTATGAGGGTGGCTGATTATGGGAAACTTCTACTTTCTACCCATTTTGGCAAACATTTTATTTCCTTCTAAGGCTGTATCTCTTATTATAAAAATATAAGAATGTTTATTATGGGATAAAAAGTCAAGCCTAGGCTTTCTTAGAACCCAGAAGCCAATATTTTATAGAATGTGTACAAATCAAACATCTCTAGTGTTACTCGAATGTCTGTGGGTAGTCTGAGAGAGATAACCTCTGGGGATTTTCCCATAATTCCTAGATAAGGATGATGCCTGTGGTCCCCAAGCAACAGCCAATGGTTTTGTATTACTCAAATATGAGCTACCATTTAATCTCAAAATCTTGTCAACACTTTTGCTCTAAGTCTGCAAATATTTCCTGTTGGTGGGTCTCACCATCTCCATATTCTTCAGAATTGCTGGTCTTTGATGTAAACCAAGGATTCCAACCATGGCCATTTCCACATTTCCCGTCCTTTCTTCTCCCTGTAGCACTCCTTCCCCAGGCTTAACCCATGCCTGTAATTTGGTCTCTACAAGACCCAATGCCCTTTGAGTCATCTCCACCTGTAGTGCTACCAGGAGGGAACAACAGATTTCAGTACAGGGCAACTTTTGTGGGCTTAACAGTGGGAAAGTAAGTAAGAAATGTATGTGCTTTTATGATTAAGACACCTTTATATCCATGTGTAGTAACTTGGTTTACAGCTATGTAGTTCTATGCCTACCATGCTTCTCTTCAGCTGCATGCACACTTACACCCCTCCTCTTTACCCTCAGAATGTCTGGCTCTGCTGCTTATTCACAACCAGGAACATGTCTCCTCCCTCCTGTGGTCCCCAAGTAACAGACCGATGGTTTTGCATTACTCAGATATGAACTACCATTTAATTTCACAGGGACCACTTCTGTGCACTGTGCTCTTGACTTCCTGCCTCTCAGAGAACCCTCCACTCATCTCTTAAATGTCATGCTTCCCTAGAATTCTATTTATGCTCATAAAGCAATGACTCGTAGCATCTCCAAGCTCAACACCCTAAACTCATCATTTTTCTCCCCAAATATTCTGGTTCTTTAACTTCCATTTCCTATCCCAATTCATGACATCTTGATTTTCTATTTATCTTGGGCCAAACAGTCATTCTACTAGAAGACTCCTCACAAAGCATCTTATATCCAATCTGTCTTTTGAATCTACAGATTTCACCCCATGATTCTCTTTGATTCAGTTTACCCATTGTTATTGTAATCCAGGGCTTCATTACCTCTCAGTGGAGCAACTGCCTTCTTCACTATTGCCTCTAATTTGGCTACCTTCTATTTACAGGTACCTAGCTATCTCACTAAAGGCCAAATTTGATTAGGAGGTATGTTTGTTAAATGTCTATCATTGATACTGATAGGTTTCAATACACAATTAAAATCCTGCTGCTGAAAGGCCAGTTTTCAGCAGGTCAAAGAAATTGGAGAGGACATGTGGATAGGCAAACTACTGGACAAACAAACAGACTACAGGGACATTTTCTGAGGAACAAAGCTTGATTCTTCATTTTATTTTTCTTTCTGCTGCTTGCTCTACTCTAGTCTTTCTCTGTTCTGTTCTTCTCTTTGTCCCATTTGCTCACCCTGTATATCTTTCCTGACATTATCCTTTGAAGATGAAATTCTAAACGGTCTTATTAAATAAGAAACACAGAGCCAAATGCAGAGTTAAAAGCCCAAAAGATCAGAGCACTAGCTTAAGCCTTTAGCTTACCAGTCACTGCCGTCCTTCCCCTCAGAGAGAGACCTTCTCCTGTGTGACCCATCTTTTTATTGCCTTTCTGTTCTACCTTCTCATTGGCTTTAAACCCAACCACATGATTTCCTCGTCACTGTCTATACAGACCTCCAGGTCTCTATGGTTTGTACTGAGATTAAAGGTTCCGGCCATTGCTTGGCTGTGTCCTTGAACACACAGAGACTCTGCCTGCCATGTGATCGGATTAAGGGTGTGTGCCACCACCGCTGGACTTCTGCTAAATGGCTTGCCTTTAGCTCTGACCCCCAGGCAACTTTATTTATTAACATACAAATAAAATCACATTTCAGCACAAATAAAATATCACCATAATCCTTCTACATCTTTCCTTTTGTATACCTTTATTTTTTCCCCTAAAACCTGGAAAACCCAACAAAAATCTTTCAAGAAATTTGAAAAATACAATGGGGTTGCATTCTGTTTTTCTTTATGTGAATGATTACAATGAACAAAAGTAAGAACCAGCATGTTCCCCAATACCCTTACATGATTAAACATTGTACACACTACAGGTGAAAACAAATTATTCCCAAAGACCCACACAAATTCATGTCTAAACAACTTGTTACAGATAACAGAGTATAAGCAAGCAAGGTATTTTTCTCAGCCAGTTCTTTTACTGGTGGGATGCATTTTGCAGTTACAAAAAAAAAGAGCAACAATTTTATTATTTATCTCAAAAGGTAATCTTATAAAAAATCTTAAAAGGATAACAAATCTAAATTTCTTATATAAAAAAATCAGTCATTTCTACTTTAAATCCTCAGGGTGCATACTCGTTTATCAACAGTTTTTTACTAAATCATATCAGGAAACTGAGGGCAAAAATGGTACAAGGAATAATCATTGCCTTTGATCACCAACCCATCTTTAGCAAGAAAGTTATGTCAGCCAACAGTAACCAGACTACCTTTGTTCTCGTCCCCTGACCTCAAGGAGTCCTTTGCTCAACTAGTAAAAGTGTGCCTTTCTAAACTTTAAATTGTTCCCCAAGATTTTCTACATCAAAGCCTTTGAAAAACCATCTTAACCTAACTTTACTAACAATCTCCATGTCTAAATTCTTTTTAAGGGCGGTGGTTAAATCATTAATCTGCTTCAGCAGCAATGCTTGGAAAAAGCCAATGACTAGTATTGCGAATACCCACAGCACTTCCCAGTGAGGGGCTAGAAACCCCCTTAGAGCTTTTCATAGAACTCATAGATTATGAGGAATGTACAATAAGTGGAGCTCTGCTCAATACCAGCATGAGGTCCATAGGACACATAGTCCTTGGGGCTCTGCCCTTCCAGTGTGTTTATGCTGACTACTGAGCCATATTCCATGAGTTCCAGGGCTGCTTGCTGTTCTTGTCACATGGACCCTGACAAAATCCTTTATTGATCAACCCAGACCATTCATGATTTTATTTCTGTCTCCCTTTCTAGGTTTATCTTCTTGCCATTTCTGCTGCATACTGCTCCATTCACCTTTGTGAAATAATTTACATGTCTATGTTGTCATGCATGAGTCTCTGTACTTGAAGCACCTGATTGCCATGCATATCACCACCATCACCATACATGTCCACATGCACACACTCGATATGTCTAGCTGATGTGTACCCATCCTTCAAAACTCAAATACAGTGTCACTTACCCACATAGCGTTTCTTCATTGTCATCCCTCCTTCCCAGTCCGAGTTCAGTTTTCTTGGTACTAGCACTCTCAATGGTACTTTGTCACCAGCCTGGTCAGAAGGAGTTCAGAGATAGATGCCATATCTTATCAGACTGAAGATCACCAACTACTGGTTGCTCAACAAATATGTGTTGAATAAATAAATGGACAGACTGTAATGATATTTACCTTATGACTTCAATACTGCCTACTCTACCACACAGCTCCCAAACTGGTAATCAGCTAATTTCTCACTTTCTTACATGTTTCCTTCATGCTACTAAAAAAAATATAATCTGTGTTAGGTTTTCATCACTATGGCAAAATATCAGAGAAAATTGACTTAATACAAAAAAAGTTTCATTCAAAGTTCCAGCACATTGTCTTGGCCCTGCTGCTTTGAGCCTTTGGCAGCATAGCCCATCAGGATGGGAGGACCTGGCTGATGAAGGTAATAAAGAAGCATTAGGAGTTGAGGTAGGGAAAAGGCTGCTTTCCCAATATTTCCTTCTAGAACATATCTCTAATGACAAGTGAGCCTCCACAAATGGGCCTTTGGAAGACACTTGCGATGTAAACCACAACAAAATCTGAGCTCTCCAATCAAGAGCCCAGGGATCATGGTCCATTCTGCAACTGCCTTTCTCAAATTATTTCTGACTGTGGTTCTTAGGGACCTTGTGCTATAGCCTTATCCTAGCAGGCTTCCTCTCCTCAAGTCTTATACTTCTCAACTTTGGCTTACTGAACTAATGAATCAGTCTTATCTGGGAAACTTGGTTCTCTCCAGAAAGAAGTCAATTCTCTTTTCTATTTATTCTTAACCCAATGATGACTCTATTTGGTGCTAATTGTATTTTATTCCATTGTATTTATTTGCCTTCCTCCTCCATTGGTCTTTAGAGGCTATCCTTCTCTAGTTTCAGCCCATGATAGTCATTTTAATATAGTCATTATAATATTGAATTAAATTACTCAGCTGCTAAATTCTACTTTATTTAGAAAAAATACTGTAAAATTTGAAGCTTTCTAAAACAAATCTCTGCCCAAATTCCATATAATGGTCTAGTGGCTTCTAGGCAATGGAATATCAAGAAAAACTAATCCAGGAAACTATTACAAACCATATATAAGATAAAGAGTCTATGTATAAACTATGGAATGCTCTCCAACAATTGAATATTCCCCTGAAAATCTGATTAAAAGTTTGACAACGGTATTATATAGACACTGAAGAAGACATGCAAAACTGACTCCAAGGAGACACTCAACATCACTGTTATCATGGGAATGAAAATTGCAAGTGAAAATCATGATGAAAAAAATAAATCATCTCGTAATAGTTAGAATGGCTGTTACTCTAGACCAGAAGACGTGGAGATTTGTACTGCTTGCCGCTCTATCAAAAACTGGAAGACAGATATTGATGGGAGGAAGAAGATCTATTCAAGGCTGGCCCTGAGGAGAATAGGGGAACCTTTTCTATCTCAAATCTCCATCTTCAGGAAGGTCCAGGGGTACAAAGGGCCTATATGAGATACATGTGTAACATGAGACAATGCGTGGGAAATCCCTGTGCTTGGGAGTCATCATACACAAAAACATTTCCTTCCTCTTCTCTGGCAAAAACCACACAATAGATTTTGCTTTCCTGCAATTAGTCAGCCAGAACCTGAGGAAAGACCTTCTTCAGCAAGAAAGGATCAATAATGGGAAGAAAGGGCAATTTCAAATGAACCACTGCTGTAGCTCTGGTACAAGATCTAGTGGCTTCTTCATTTTTGGACTTTGCCCGTCATAGTGGGAGTGCAGAATAGAGAAAATCTCCTATTTCAGGAGCAGGATGCATAAAAGAGAAACAGGAAGAGGTCAGTATCCCAAAATTTCCTTCAAGGGCACAGCACCTATGACTGAAGGACCCCCCAAAGCCTTCCCCAACATCAGGATTCTACCACCTCCCACTGTAGCACCACCCAGGAGACCAAGCCATTCAATATCACAAAGATTTATCTACCAGGGCTTCAGGATGGTCAAGAAGGCCGTGGCAGGGTAGTGGGATAGGAAATGTCAAATCTCTTCATGAACTCAGAGCCAATGGCATAATACAGTACTCAAAGGAGAAAAGAAAGCCTCGGATATCCCTGGTTATCTTAAAGCAGCCTTGAGAATGGACCTGTGAAAGGGTACTTTTCTCAGCCTGCCCTGCATTCTTCCATCCACATGGGGAAATTCCAAGGCTCTCTTAGGCCACTGACCAGATGACCACAGTGAATGCAATAGGACTGGGTGGTTCCCTCTGCTGGTGTCAGAAACCCAAGTATCTCTCCAAGAATTACTCAGCTTGCAAATCCCCTTAGTAAATAAAGGGCTTTGGCCTCAGACAATAATGATGCAGATAAATGGAGGTGAAGGTGACAGATGTGGGTAGGGATGAAGTCAACTGATAAAGAGAGGAAAGAGAAACTAGGATGCAGAGAAATCCCCTCCCTGGTCCTGGGTAAGGCTTTTTTTTTTTTTTTTTTTTTTGGTTGCTACAGTATCAGCTTGCCTTAGAGTGTAGTGAGCCTGTCTGTGAGCTTGGATCTCTGTTAGACCTTGGGAAGTTACTAACAAAATTTCACAAACTCCTGGGGTGGCCCATTATTACACAGGAAAACAACAGGAAATTCAGTTATCGAAGTTCAGTTATAACCAAGTGATTCAGAATTCCTGCTTTGAATAATCACAGGGAAGAGAACCGATGGCCAAAAGACTTAAGAAGGCTGTTCTAGAGAATCTTCAGACTAAACTTGCTTCGGAAAAATAAATTATTTCCACAGGAAAATGATGGGAATCAACCCACCAGGAGCTTGGAGAAACTAAAACTTCTCATTCACAAGAAATGTTAGGAAGCCTAAATCTTTGAAGAATTGTTTCAGGAGTCATTTTGCTTTAAACTTTAACTCAATTCTACTTTCCTTCTCCATTCTTTAAAAGCCTTAATAATGAATCTGCATTTATGCTGTGTGACCTCCTGGTCCACCCCTTTCCACCCTCAGGCAATGGATTTTTAACCAATAAAGCAAGAAAAAAAATCTTAAGAATTAACTAAACCCTTCTTATTTCTCTTCCTGAGAAAAGCAATCCCCAAATCATCAGATAGGGTTGAGTAAGAGAGGAATCTACATGTGGAGGTCTCAGGGGACTATCTTAATGCCAGTTGGTGGACCCAATGAATGATGGGGGTGGAGGCTATAATGTAGCCCACGAAAGGTAAAGAGAATGTGTCTGCAGAAGTTAGCTTGACTTGGGTGCTGAAGCCAGAACCACATTAGTAAGGACTGTGAACTTAGTAAAGTGGCCCAGCAAGGAGAGTGTCCTTGAAAATATGTGGGCTGAGTATCTCCACAGGGAGCCAGGCAGAGGTGAGTCAGGATGTGTCAGAGCCCAGGAAAGACATAGAGGGTAGGGGGTGTCAGAGATCAATTGATGGGTGAGGAGAGAGTCTGCATGGAAGGAAGACCCAGGTGTGTAACAGAATCCACATGGGTTGAGGAGGGCACCCACATGAATGGGAATTTCTATACAGGGTGGTCTCAATATGGTGCATCAGGGCAACATAATCAATACATGAGAAATGTCCCCCACAAACACATACACACACAGAGTGAGAGAAAAATAAAAAGATAAAAAGTATGATAAAGATTAAAAATAAAAAGAATAGTGGCAATGGTGCACTATGATTTATTGTATAAAACATAAATCTACAGATTTATGTTGATATTAATAAATGAAATTAGAAAATATAAACTTTAGTCAGGAATGGTATTGTTTACATAGTTTCAAAGAATTTTCACATTAACTGTGGGGGGGCCTGCCCCCACTTTTTCCTCCAGGGTACTCTTGAGCAGGGAGAAGTGAGAAATATTTAGATAGAAATATAGAGGAGAGAGACAGATAGAAACACAGGATAGCCTTGGGAGGGCCTGGGTCAAAACCCACCAGCCCCTTCTGTCTCTACTAAAGGGCTTTTATAAGAATGCCAAAGGATGGAGCAAAAGACCTCCCCCTAGCATAGCCAAGTGCAGACCATCCCAAACACCTGGTAACCATGCACATGGTCAAGCCATCCCCTAATGCAGCCCTGCTGTGTGAAGCAAACTCAAATCTCACTAGGAAACCTCTGTGGGCTCCCATAATTAACTAAATATGAATTACAAAGGGGGAAAAATAAGGTTTAGTGGACAAGCCTGAATGATACACAGGTCCACTTCAGTTCATTAGAAAAGCAAATCCTCAAAAGTAGCAAGGTAAAGACAGTCAAGGAAGGCTAAAGACAGAGGGGAGCTAACTGACTAAATTCAACATGCATTGCAAACTAGAAATTCTTACTGTAAGGGCGTCTGCTGTGCAGCAAGTTCCTCCTCTGAGGTACACACCCGCATCTTGTGGAGAAGCTTGTTAAAACATAGGATGTTCTAAGAAGAGGTGAAGTGTCCTATACTTCAGAGGGGCTCTTCAAGCCCAGAAAGCAAACAACTCAAAGGCTTCAGGAAGTCCCTGAAACTGACCAGATTCACTAACCACCTCTCTTACCAAGCACATTAAACAGTAAATACTGTTGAGAGATGCTCTCAAATAAGCTAAACTGCCCAGAAGACTGTCAGAGCATCTGGGCTGCCTGGAAAAGGCAGAGACCAGCCATACTGCCTGGAAGGGGCTCAGACAATCTGAGCTGCCTGAAAGAGACAGGCTGCAGCCAGGTGAGCTGCCTGCGGTTGTGTGGTGCAGTCCAGGTTTCCAGTTTTTTGAGCTGCAGTGGTCTTTAGTGATACAGCTCTCTTTGAGTTATTTCTGCTCCTGTAGGTAACCCCGCACCCATATTCCTGTAAGCAATCCTAATAAAAGCCATTGGTTCACTATATTGAACTTTGACCCTTGTTCTGGTCTGCCTATCTGGTGTGAAGAGATGTTTGTTCACAGATCCACAGTATCATTGTGACAGTTACTGAAACATCAATGGGGATTAGGATAGGTATTAATGTGAATTTTTATTTTAACAGATGTTTTATGGTGAGGGGTTGGAGACGT